GATTAAAATTTCTCTCAAGGTTTGAGACTATGTTGGAGCCTCTTTAGATTCTAACAAATGTAAGAAGCACAGATAGTTTAAATTACGTTCACTGATTTTCTACATGTTTCGGCAAGTTTAAACCTTGTCTCTTCACTTGAAACTGCTCACACACAAATAAGAAAGATTAAAGAGCAAAGTGTTTCATTTTAGCTTTTATACAACTCATCTACGTTCTTTTCCATCTTTTCACTGAACATCCTCTATAGCTCTTAACGAAAAGAAAAAAAAAACGATTTAGGTGCAGGTGTACACCAAATGCAACGAAACATTTAAAAAAAGTGAAACACAATTCATCTAATCGGCAATACCGCACGTTCCATTCAGCTAAATTGCTAACAATGAAATTGTGCACAAGTATGACGTCAAACAATCCACAAAACAAAGTATGCGGCTAGCCCATTTTCAGATTTAATTGTGGATTTATCAAAATGTGTGGGTTGGGTTTACTGAAGTATTCTGATTTACAGGTTAAAGTAATTTTGTTTATAAGCTGATGAACGGTATCTTGTAAGCAGAAGTCTTTTGTATCGCAAAAATTCCTGCTCAAATTAGTTGTCCTTTTTTTACTACTTAGAACTCATCAAGTTCCTGACTTACAGCATTGTTCAATTGTCTACACTCTATGCAAGACTTTGCAAGTTCTTCTAAATATTTGCTTCAAATAATCTTATAGCTGTCAAAAAAATGCACTTGACAAAAATGGTATTCACCGCTGATAAGCTGTGAGCTTTGAATGTTTTCTCATCTTTCATTCTAGATAACCTTTATAAAAAAGTTTTCTTTTAGAAAAGAACAGTCCTTGTTTCTGTCTCTAAGTATTGCTTCCGCTTTGCAACATACTGTGATGAGATTTTGTAGAGAAAGTACATTTTGCGTAGGTTATCTCAAATATTGTTTATCGGATAGCGCATATCCCTTACACATTGTGCTGATTAGAGCAAATTGCGTATGCAACTGAACCATCGAGTAAATTTACTCGCAATAACTAGTCCCTGGCTTATCCCACGAAACATATTCCTTAACGAGCTTGTGTGCATGAAGGCGGTGAATTGAGAGAATTATAACTCCCGTCTCGATATCGCTACCGTAAATAACGTGCCTACCTACCACACATTGTTGCCATCAGATAAATGGCAATGAATAGAACTAGAATTGAATTTGCATAAATTTAATGTGAAAACAGCATGACAGCTAGTTCGCCTCATTTCCTCAGGAATTTAAACTATGGTAGAAGGATAATGATAACTTACCGAAAATAAAAAATGGCTATCAGCACGAATAGATTCGCTGGTATGCCGAGA